TGATGCTGGGTGTTGGTACCTGAAGCACAGTCCCCAGGTGACCCCTTCCTCACGTCACAGATGGAACAGGACAAACTCTCACTAATAAAACACTGGTGTGACCAAAGAGCAGTGAAGGAGAATGATTAAATGCAAAAGAAAATATTGAAAGCTTCCAGATCTGTGCATCACCTAAACTCTTCCAGTTCTCAGGTAAAAAAGACTTTAAAGAGTAAAAAGTTACTCTGGTGTTAAGGCATTGCAAATACCAGAGTAAAAGACAAGTAAAAAAATAAATGAGAATCAGTCCTGTTCACTTCTGAACCTACCAACGTCCAAATTCCCTGATTTACACCCACATCTCCCTTCTTCCAGCTAATCCCATGAAAACATTCCCAAATCAAGAGATTTGACACTGTGCCCAGTGAATCTGGTCTTCAAAGGATGTGTATTCACATTTCATTCTGCTCTGCCAAGTGTAAAGTCATAACTGCAGTGCAGAGACTGATGTGTGCTCTGACAAAGCCCAGAGCCTCTTCCCCTGCAGAAGGATATTTGGATATCCAAAGGCCAAGCTCAGCTCCAGGAGCTCCTTTCAAAGGAACAGTTTATCACCTAAATTGATTTATTGATTTTTCTGTAATGTAGTTTCCCTCTGATGTCATAACTGCAAATTAACTTGGAAGGAATTCATATTCTAAAAAAGAATTAAAATAAAATAGTCAAGGCTACTCTCTCCTGCACTGCTGGAAGACGATTTTGCTCTAAAAGTGGGTCTTAATATTTGAGGAATAAAGTAACAGGAAGGAATTCAGTAACATTTCTTTCTTCAGTCAGTTTCTGGTTAACTCTGCTCCTCACTTCTTGGAGGCTCAGTTTCACAGGATAAATTATTCTGTGAATATTTTCTTCCATTTAGATGTGGAAATGGCCCAACAGACAGAACTTTAAAGTCCAGAAGAAAAGAAAAAGAGCAGATTTTATGAGGACAGTAACTTCAGATACTGAATATATTCAAGCCCTCACTGCATCCCAGTGCTGAGGTTTGCATGTCTAATGAGGCAGTTAAAACAAGATGCTCTGCTGATGTCCTTTATGGTGGCAGTGATCACATCTGCTCTCCATCTCATCTGTCATCATTTATAATCTGTGCCTTTCTCCTTGTGTCTTCCAACTGACACTGCAGCTGCAGTTCAGGGGAAAACCTGCAGACAAGTCACTTCACTGCACTGCTAAATCCCTGTTACAGATTCCCAGCTTGCTACCAGTGGCTTTAGTAATTTATTTTTGACCTCTGATTTCTGCATGACATTAGAAAAAGGGACTCCAAGACAGCTGGAGAGAGACACTGGACAAGGGTCTGGAGTGACAGACAGGGGGGAATGGCTTTCCACTGCCAGAGGGGTATTGGGAAGAAACCCTTCCCTGTGAGACTGGTGAGGTCCTGGCACAGGGTGCCCAGAGCAGCTGTGGCTGTCTCATCCCTGGCATTGTCCCAGGCCAGGTTGGATGGGGTTTGCCCCATCCTGGTGTAGTGGAAAGTGTCCCTGCCCACGGCAGGGGTGGAACTGGATGGGCTTTGAAGTCCTTTCAACACAAATCTCTCCATGGTTCTCTGACTAGAGTTAATGTCTTGAGATGCTGGAGATGTGGAATTTGCATATGGTAAGTTTCCTTCACTCACTTTGTTGAGTTATTACCCATTCTTTTTACATTTAAGAATTACTGGGCTCCAAGGCATGCAATAAAAAAAAATTCCTGGAAGACATATGGGATGCCTAAAAGTTGTATTCTCAGAGTCAGCACTCCATACTTGGTGAACAGATTGGGTTTGCCTCTCCAATTTACTGGAGAACATGATGATGGACTCATCTCTGTGATTCACAAATAGGGCACTCAATAAATATGGCTTGAAGAGTAAATTAAATTAAAAGAGTGAGAAATGTTGTGCTCTCCTTCCCTTGCAATGGGTGAAGATCTGCCTGAAAGGACAGCTCAGCCACCACTTCTACCACACTCCACACCTCTGCCAAAGTTAGGAAATGATCTTGAACCAGACCCCATGGTGATCTGGTCATTAATTGCACTAACTGAGCACAGGCCTTGTACAAGTGCAGATGACCAGACAGCAGGCTGGGCAAGGATATAACCTGAGCTTGTGTATTTTGGTGGCATGTGGCATCCAGCCCGTGGCTGGGGATGGCAAAACAACTGACAACACATCCCTTGTGGCTGTGCTGATGTGGTGAGTGCTGCCTGTACCTTGGGGCACCCAGAAAGCCCACTGTGAGCTACAACACTTGCAGAGCCACAAAACTGGCACTCTGGAGTGATGAAAAAGGCATTAAGAGTGGTAATTCCAAGTGTAAAGCAACGCTAAATAATGACAGCAGCCCCTTGAGAGCTGGCGCTGCTGCCAGCCAATTTGGAAAACCTGATTATTCCATCTCTGGCCCCACAAGGTACTAGTGGGCACTGCATTTTTCTGCCTAATATATAAGGAATTCAAATAAATTCTAAACCCACTATTCTGCTTCACCTTGAATTCAAACAACGCCTTTTCTTTGCTGAGTAAAATCCATCCCTCATGGAAATGGAGAAAACAATTAAGACCTACCCTGGGTTTTGGTGAACACTTGATCATTTCGGCTAACAATCAATCTGAGTGTATTTTAAGAGCTTTTGAGCGCCTTATAATCAAAAAGAGAAAGAAAATCAATTAATCTATGCACCATAATGCCCAAGTGAGTGCCATAAGGAGGACTGATCTGGGGGTAATTTTTAAGAAGTTAAGACGTGTAATGCAAGGACCAACTCCCCATTTAAAGCTGTTTGTTGTATTCCTGAATTGCCAGAAATATCACTTTCATCAAATTCTTTTTCTCCCAACTTTCTAAATGAATTATCTTTATACTGAGGACTGTTATTTGTCAATCAGATTCATCATTCCATCAAAATAAAACAAAACCCCCAATTTTGCTCTAAAGCCTTCACTCTATCATTTTGCTGGGTAATACATAAAAACATTAATTTTGTGCAGGAAAAGTCTCCACTTGCAACGTGATCCCAAGAGAGAAAAAGGAAAAATGTAAAATACCTACAGAGTATTGTACTGAAAAGACAGCTCTGCCAGAAACCATGGCAACTCGGGTGTTAGATGAGAGCTGTATCCTTCTGCCTGGATTGCTGCTGCATGTTTATTCATGCAGAGCATCTTGAGTTGGGGTTTGACAAACAGATTTGGTTTATGGACGTTGAAGAGGAGGGAAGAGGTGAAGAAACGGCCCTGTTGTGGGTTGATAAAATGCTTATCCTTCAGAACCCACTGCCCTGGGAACGGCAAAGCTGCACCCAAGGCACCATCTGTGCTGCTTCCCATCTGGGCCAAGGTGCAGTCCTGCACAGGTCACCTTCCTGGGGCAGCATGTCTGTGCCTCAGTGACCCTGGAGGCCAGGGACTGGGGTTTGGGCTTCAGCTCACCTCAGCCAGCAGCTAGAAGGGGTTAAATGAGCTGCTCCAAGGACTCAAGGAGATGGGAGTGGCACCTGGATGGCAAGCCCCTAAAATTAGAGTTTTGGCTTCACCAAGCCAGAGGTGAAGCACCTGAGGTGAGGATCTAAAATGCTTCATTTTGCTACGGTCCCATGGATGCTGGGACACCCCCAGGCAGCACAAAGAGCCTCTTCCCTCAGCCCCCACCTCCAGCACACACAACATTGGTTGGTCCAGTGCCACCCTGAGACACAGAAGCCCAAATTGGGATACTCATACAGCAAGAGCACTGAGGGTATCTTTATCCCACTTTAGCTTTCCTGAGCAAGGAAAGAAAATCTGTGAATCTGCTTCAAAAGCCTGTGTGTGGGGTAGAGGAGCAGCCTGGAGAGATTCACTTCATCCAGCCCTGTCAGTACTGGAAATATCTCCTGGGGAGCCCATCATCCTGAGATTGCTCATAACTCAGCTGGAGGAGATGCTTCCCAGGCACTCCTCATCTGACCTACTGCAGCCTTTTAGCTCAGGATGAAATTAATCACTCTAATTTCTCTCCTCTGAATATAAAGCAAGTCTAGACAAGTAACTCAGATGTTTACGCTTAAACCTGGATAAAGTAATTTCACTTCTGGGGTCCATATCTGACTACAGCTCTCTTACTGCCCTGCCAGGGAAAATCACTTCATTTCTGTCTTGCTCACAGCCCCTTCAGAAGCAGTATAAGGATAAAACATTTATTAGTGTTGTAAAAATATAGAAAATAATTGCATAGACGTTTCTGATTAAGCCTGGGCCGAATAAAAAGCACTGCATTAGAGCAGAATTTAGGTTTAGAAATACAAGTGTAGGAGGAATGTGTAGTAAGAACTACTTTCTCCAAGCACCAGTCACAAAGGATTGGGTCTTTCCCTGAAATATTTTATGCTATTTGTCAAGGAAGGCACTTGGTTGCTGATCAAGTGGTTGATGTGCTGGCCTGACAGGCTGGGGAGGTGGTTACTGCAATGCTGGTTAAATGCTTTGACAAATGCCTCACTGGAGCCCTGTGTTAAAAAATGGAGGGGCTGGGAGGGGTTCCTCTCTGGGGAGAGCAGCAGTGAGAATGTTACCCTTCAGAGTCAATTAGCCTTTGCTTTGGACAGCAAACACATGATGAGGGTTCAAAGAAGAGGGTCAGCATCTCAACAGGCTAACCAAAACCCCAGAGGGTGCAGATCTGCTGTTTTTCTTAAAAGCATAGAAAAATGTGATAATTCCTGTGTTCCTCCTCTCCCCTCCCCTCTTTTCCATGCTTCTGAGAACATGAGAACTTGCTCTCACTAATGAAATCAGGAAGATTATCCCAGCTGCAGTGCTGGGGTGTGAGTGGACACGAGGCCTATTATCCCAATTTCCCTCGTAATGGTCTCACACCTGGACTCGCTGTCAGGGTCAGTCAATTAAAAGCAGCTTCACAAACCCACATTTCACTTCAAAGCTCTTCTTGCAGGGAAAAATATCAGCCTCAGCAACCTTACTGTCACCGTACTGACACGGTAGGGTCAAACTGCTTCGCGTACGACAACCCCGAGGACTGCTCTGTACACTTGTCATGTCTCCTCAGTTCCCAAGTGAGCAGAAAGAAATCCATCTGGCTGTGAACAAACCAGATGCAGACAAATTTTCACAGGCTACTGCTGTGAGCTCTGTCAGTGGCCAGCTCTGCTTCTCTTCCAAGAAATAAAATGAAAAATCATGACTTATCTTAATTGTCGCTCAGGGTTTCCCATGCTCTGAGCTCAGTATCAGCTGGACAGGAGGATTTTGTGGAGTGCTGTAGCTCAGGGATCCCTCTCTATTAATCTCTGGATTGTATCTGGTTTCATTAGTTACCATTTTGTATTTTCCTACTGCAGCCTGTTTACCTTGAAATTTAAAGTGGTAAATTACTCTGACACCACTAACAGCCACAGGTGCCTTGATCAGCCAGGTGCTTTCCAGCTCCAGCAGATACCATGAGACTGTCTTCAGACTGACCACTGGGTCACTGGCACATCCTTGAATCTGAGTGTTTCCCTGATGATTATAATCATATTTTAAGAAATGTGCAGAAAATGGAGCAAAACTTATGAGGGTAAACGATGAGAATTACAGTCAGATGGTCTGTTTCCACTTGTCACCAGAAACAAAAGTCATGTTGTTGATAGAGATCATTGGGCTTAAAGAATATAAATCTAACCATGATTAAATTCTGTTCCCTGTGAGCTAAGCCAGGAACTCAGCTGTTGTCACGACAGAGATTACAGATGCATTTACAGTCCAAAATCACTACAGAACAATTCTGCTCTTTATTTTGTTTTCAAAAAAAAACCCTTTAGTAGAACAACGAGGAGCACAACTTGAAAAATAAGCAACTACAAAAGATGTATCCACACTACTCATCTTTCCACTTCTTATCTTCTACTTCCTGTGCTTTTGATACCTTTGGAGAAAGGGATGATGATACCCCACGATGCCCCTTCTCCAGGACTGAGCTGGCAGGAGTAATCTGCCCCTGCTGATAACTGAGCCAGGCAGCCTGGAGCCTCCTGAGGAACAGCTCATCTCATTCTAAAGATGGCTGTTAGGTTTGCCAAGTCAGGTGTGTGCCCAGGGATGTCTGTTTCTTTCCATGAACAACACAAAGACCTCAGGTGATCAGGACAGAACGTAGAGACCTACAGTATACACAGAGCAAACTCTGTGTACAGAGTCACTGCAGCCATGTGCAACTTCATCAAATAAGATGGTTCAGGTAACAGTGTAGAGTAACACATTGGTAAGCTCTGATTTCTCAGAGCGTTTGCTTACCTTGGATCACAAAGAAACTTGGTTTTTTCACCTTCTTCTCTCCAAATAAGCCATTCTCGGAAAGAGGGATGAACAAACATTCGCGTCATGTCTCTACGTTTGATAAGAAACATAGAAAGGTTCTCCATCCTCTGCTGAAAGTCCTCCCACTCCAAAGTGCCCTCAATGTTACCTGCATTAATGGCCTGAAAAATATGTTCATCTGTTAATGGGTGCAGAGAAGCCACTGCTACGTTCAAGAGAGGCATGACCCGATCAAAGGAAGACTGTGTTGGGAACTTCATATTGCACTGCAACAGGTACACTTCGGACAGGGACACTGGGACCACTTTGTAGCTGGAGCTTTTTAGAACTAGGTATCCTTTCTCTATGAGATCAAAAGTAAGTTTCAGGTACAGGTAGGACCCTTGGCTCAAGGTCTTGAGGTGAGAACTGAGTTTGCCAAACGTAGTGTTGTCCATTTTGCCGTTGAGTGAGATGTTGTTCTGGATCTCCGAGCTGCTGTGTATCCGGTGGAGGATGTATGCCTGCAGGTCCTGGTCGATGGCTTCATTCTCTTCCAGTCTATCCAAAAATATTCTGTGGAAGGGCAACAGCTTAATTATTTCCTACAAAGAAAGAAAGAAAAAAAGATACTCATGCCTGCAGTGTTTACTATTCATTAAGTAAACTTAGTTTCTATTACAATAGCACCTTTGAGACTCCTTTAAGACCTTCCATCAGGGCAAGAACACAAACAGCAGTTTGTGCCCTCAGGGCCTCACACTCCCATCTATAATCAAGCAGGTTGTGTGTGACACATGACTGATGTAAAAACAAGGGACACTTTCTAACAGTACATTCACGGAAAGGGCTGGTAAATTCACACAGAGCAGTGCCCTTGTTATTCCTATCCCTTCCAGGCACGGATTGACCTCCCATCCCTTCTGCTGTCCAGGACATCCAGATAACAGATCCAAGGCCACGAGAAACTTGCTGAAGCTGAGAACAAGAACCTCTCTGGGAGCATCCTTCTGCATTCTACATCCACAGATGCACAGACACATCAGGACAGATAATAATGAGTATTTTCCAGTGCAAAGCACCTGTGTCTGTCTGCTGCAGGACACCGGGCTCAGGGAATGCTCATCTACTGAGCTCCCTGCTTCAACATAAACCAAAGATCACCAAAGGCCTCTCCAAAGAAATTCTTTCCTCATGTGCTCTCAGCTGCTGTGAGGAGAGGAGAAGTGATGCAACAGATCTGTACAAGGCCAACTCCAGGAAAGCCATAAGCTCTCCAACAAAACAGAGAGGGAGAGCACAGTGTGAACTCAAGCGGCAGTAAAGACTTTACGGATGCAAAAGCCCTAATTAAATGAGGAATTCAAGTCATTGGGATCCAATTTACTTACAATTACAGAAAGATTTCTTCCAAATTATATTTAATTTACTCCATTACTGAGCAAAAAATGGACCCCAGCACTGAACAGCAAATAGTCTGTGCTCTCCTGGATCTTGGGAAGCAGCTGCCATTCCCAGTGACAACGACTTTGTGGGGGCTGGCTGCCCTGATGGGGCTGGAACCACACTCAGCTCCCTGCTGACCTGCTCACAACAGTCTTGAGCTGAGTAATGTCTTGGCCTAATCAGACTGAAATCATCATGCTCTGGGTCATGCCAAAAGGAACGAAGATCCGAATTCCTTTGCCTTTCCACATGGAGCTGAGGATGTTATTTAGCTGCACAGGCTGCCAGACACCAGGCTCTGCCTTCCTAATGGCCCCGTGAGTCAGGCCCTACTGGCATGTGAACAGTCTCACAAAATGATCTGAGCTATTTGCTGATGAACATTTATTTACATGAATAAGCGATGATGGATTAGATCCCTCCAAAGCTGTAGAGTGAGCCTAGGGACATGGATGTAAACCCAAGAATACAAAAGCCAAAAGGATAACCTGAAATAAAGGTTTTGAGCAAATCTAGAACATCCAGTAAGATCTTCCTTACCAAAGTCCCATCATGACAATGACACAGTTGATCCCTGTTTTGGGTCTCAACATACCTGTAGACTTGTCCTGACTGTCACTACCAGCTTCAGCCAGGAAGGGAATTTTCCAATCATTTTGCTCAGGAATGATACAATGGTGTCTCCATAATCTGGCTTGTGAAATTCAGCCTCATTCAAACCATCAATTAATATAATGAAATCTTCATCAGGGATCTTCCTCTCTGAAAGTTAGAGAAGAAGCATTTATTGGACATGCTATAGACAAGCAACCATAATGTACTGCAATGTCACTACAGAGTTTTAAACCATGACCAGATATTGCCAAAGAAGCAAACACCTACAGTAGCAGCACCTTTTCAATGATACATTAATTGCATATTGACCTTTACAGGTCATCTCATTCCACCCTCCAGCTGGGGACAGGGACATCCTGTTGTTGTTCCAACCTGGCCTTGAAAATCCTACAACAAGTAAATCATGGACTGTTTAAACAGGATTTTTTTTTTTGCTGCTGGACAATACAGTATCAGGTGATGCTGACAGTGCAGTTATTTTTACTATGTCAGACACTGAGAGCTGAGTATGGCTTTACAATTAATGGTAGAGATACCTTTGGACCTGTATCTTAAGCTCAAAGGGGCATCTTCTCAATGGTAATTTTGCCTCATAAGACTCAAAACCAGGTGTAAAATGTGAAATCTCAATCTATTGATGGCATATGCTATTCACATGTACTACAAGCCCTGATCTGTAAAGTACTACAGATAAACTCCTGCTACCAAAAAGGTCAATATTCCTGGCAGCAAGTCAGTTTTTCTCTTTGACTTTTAATTTTAATTTTTAATTAAGAAACTTTTCTGCAAAACCCCAGCACAAAATGTTCATTGACCATTAGATCCTGTGGTCCCTGTGGTATTCCAGGGAGAACAGGCATGTGCAAACACCCCGTGCTTGGGAATGCTGAGCATCTTGTCCTTGCCTTACATCAACTGTAAACATACATATGAAAAATATGTATTTTGCACTAAAATTACCATAGCTGCTTTTTCAGTTAACTTTTCAGTAAGATTTTTGGATACAACAGAAAATATAATTTATTCCTCTCTGAAATCTTGGAGTGAACGCAGTGCCTGAATTTTATACCCACATCTCATGCTCCTGATAAAGCCTAAGGGAGAGAGGAGAAAGCAGGAGTAGGGGATGAATTAGAACTTTGTTTTCCTATATATGATTTAGATTCCTTGATGTTAAAAAAAAAAAAAAATATCTATATAATGTATTTGAGAAACATGAATCTTTCTCAGTGATGCTCACCATTAACACCTGTGCAATAGTTTTGTCCCAGTAGCACTAAAGCTTCAACAGCACCTTGTTGAAGACCTGCTGATATATTTACAGAGTCTTAAATATTATATATTTTAGAACCAATTTCCAGCTACTGTTCATCTTGTTAGAGAACACTTGGTGCAAATTAGCTTGCCAGCACTCTCAACCAGCAGGTTTGAAAAGTGGCAGTCTTGGTCAGCGGCTCCACTGGAGCTGTGCTGAGTGCAGAGCCCAAGAGGAAAGGAAAAAAAAAGGTTTCACATAAAATTTTCCCACTTCTCAGAATTTAGGGCCAGATGGGGGTCAACCTCCTTGACAAGAAAAATAAGAATCCTCCGAAACATTCTGAAATCAAGAGCTGAAACATCTCCCAAGGCGCTACTGTAATAACCAAGAATTATTTTCCTCTAGAGCAGCGGTTCCTAAATGTATCTTTTTTCTTTTTCTTTTTGCCAAGAGTGATGATAGGAAAGAGCAACCACGCTCCTTCCACAGTGACATTTCTCCATGCCAGGAAAACCAACCACTGTCATGCTGTGCTGGCTCTACATATGCTGTGTGCCTGGTGGAACAGGGCAGGTTGGACCCAGATGCTGCTGCTCAGAGCTTGGACACAGTTTTGAAGAGCTGATTGGAACATCAGGGCTTTGAATCTGCCAGAAGCTGCATCTACTTCATGTCGGATCGTACAATGTAGTGTGTAGGGTGGTAACAAAATTAACTGAACTATTTTTGCAGCCAAGATGCAGCACAGGCACAGTAATAAACATGATTCTGCAGGACAACAGTCTTGAACTCTGCAATGCTCTGACAGTTTTCATGGCAACGAGCAAAGATCTTAAATTTAGTGACTGTCATGATGAATTACTTATAACTTGCAGAGGGGAGAAATAAAAGAAGACAAAATCAATGCTGTATTAGAAAAAGCTCTAAGTCTGTTATCAGCATAAGGCTTGTCACCAGCTCTCCCTGAAGCTTTACACAGGGTGTCTACGGACTTTTATGACACCAGACCTTTGGTGAAAGCTTCAGATTCTCCAAAACCCACTAAGTAGTGACAGGGAAAGGGAAAAAAAGTCACCCCCTACACAAATACATCAGAACATTTTCCTGTAAGCACTGCTGTGAATGGAACTGGTTGCTTGTTTTCACCTTGAGAACTGCAATGACAGGTTTGGGATATGAAAGCAGCAAGAAAAGGGAAGGCCAAATGGGATATTGGGAAAAAAATCCTCCCTGTGAGGCGGGCAGGCCCTGGCACAGGTTGCCCAGAGAGGGTGTGGCTGCCCCTGGAAGTGTCCCAGGCCAGGCTGGATAGGGCTTGGAGCAGCCTGGGATAATGGAAGGTGTCCCTGCCATGGCAGGGGTGGAATGGGACGAGCTTTAAGGTCCCTTCCAACACAAACCATTCCATGATTCTCAGTCTTCCCAGCCTCTCCAGATCCCACCTCTTCTCTCCACCTCAACAAGCGACGCACACACATTAATCCATCGCTTCGTTCCAACGCCCACAACCCAACTAAGCATCATTTTCAAAAATCATAACAAAAAAAGCTGCACGGGAGGCTGGGGCACGGCGAGGAAGACCAGTACCTTTGTGCAGGCTCTCCAGGGGCTCCAGGACCCCCCTGCGGAAGGAGGCCATGGGGTCCTGCACGCAGGAGCGGAGGCTGAGCAGGCTCTGCAGGTGCGGCTCGCGCAGCAGCTGCTCCCGGTACGCGACGAACTGCGGCGAGCGGCACAGCAGCGCGGCCACGTTGTGCACGAACTCGGGCACCAGGCAGGTGTAGGCGTTGTCAGCCTGGCAGTAGTGGTAAGCTACGACCTAGCAAAGAGAAAAGAATGAAAAACTCCGTGTCTTCATCAGAGCCACGCCGCGACAGTCGTAAAAGGAGCGGTTTTTCATTTGGTGAGTTTGAGCTGTTCTGGCAGGTGAAGACTTTAAGAGCAATGAGTGTTAACTAACTATGACAAGAATCCAGACAAATCAGTTGGTAAAAACAGGCATTGATCCTGAAAAATGACTGGACCTCCCGCCTGAGGAACAAATGAAATTAAGCTGTTTGCAGAGACTGACAATGACGGTGGTTGACGTCTCTGAAGTGCTGTGCTGAGCTTGTGCTATGCCCTGAGTTCTGTTTAAGAACTTGGTGCCAGTAAAAACTTGTGATTGTTTTCTTGAACTTACTCTTTATTTGCTTTGTTTTCACATGTCAAGCTCTGTGGAAGTGGACACACAGCACTCCCTGAGTCCATCACAGTGAGGCAGCACCGCAGGTACAGATTCCCCTGAGCTGGGGGCGATGGCAGGCTCACTGTACTTTACTCATACATTGTGATCCCACACTTCATTAAAAAAATTAATTCAATTTAAAAAAAAAAAAAAGTTCCCCTCTTCCCAGCTTTCTCCTGATTTTTCCAGCTCAGCAAACTCTGCTAGAACCCTGCTACGTTCTGCCCACTTATTAAAATAAGCAGAAAACCAGTGATATCTTCTCAGGCCATACTGCCAACTTTCTTGTTTTCTTTTGCAGTATAAAAAAGGCCCTCAAAAATCTGTCTCTGCCTGTGAATCCCCTGGGAAGCTGCTCTGGCACCACTCCAGCACAGCTTCTCCTGCTCCCTTGCTGCCTCCAGCCTCAGGCACTGCCTGCCCATTTGGAATGAGCCTCTGCCAGGGCACAAAGCTTTTCTGCAGCTCCCATTCTGGACTGGGTTTTCTTTTCAAATATCACTGAGTATCCAAAAATATCCCAGCAAGGCAGGTGGGAGCAGTTCTCTACCAAAACCATCACTGCCCTGGAGCACTGTAGCACAGAATGTTGCAAAATAAATTGCATTTTTGAACTTGGGAAGGACAATATAGCTGAAGACACTGAAAAGGAAAAGCTCCTCTGCAGCTCAGGGCAGCTGGGATGAAATGTGCCCGTGGCTTTGGACATGATGAAGGCTTTCTGTCTCTCCACCTGCAAAACCTGTCCCTTAGACTGCAGGAGGCTCCAGGGTGGCTAGGATGGAACCAAGGAATGAACACACCAGGCTGTGGGATACTCACCCATTGCTGGTTCAGCACTGGCTTTTAATTTTCAATATGAAATTACCCATGGGATATAATGCAGTAATTTCCTTTCCCAGTCAAAACGAGGTGTGACACATGCAGTGATGAGGAAGCTGGGCTGTTATTTCAAGCATCAAGCTCTAATACATGTATTTAAGTTTTAATGGATACCTCCAAATTCCTTACAGAATTTTTCCTACCAGACAGTTAAAATAGAATTAATTCCCTTAGAGAACAGCACTATGTAAAGTAATTACAGAGGTAATGATTTCTTTTCATCAATCCTATTTATTTGGGGATTATAACTTGTGCATTTCACAGAATGAAGTTTGCAAGTTGCCATTCCTTGATACCAGGTTCCACTAACAGAAATTACTCTGATTTCCTATGCAATTTGTGTGTACCACAAAAATAAAGTCTCTTTTAATGAAAGGCCAATTAATTTCTTCCAGGAATCCGAAGAGTCATGTCATGGAAAAAAGGTCATGTGTAATCATCATCACCATCAGATTTTGGGACACACATACAATTACAACCCAATTAATTTCAGCCACTTCCCATGCATTACAGTTGGACTTGATGATCTTAAGAAGTCTTTCCAAATCTTAGCAATCCTATGATTCCATAATTCCTGATCCCTGTGCTCGATTTACTGGTGTATCAACTAAGCCTTATAACCAGTAGGATAAACATAATGCTTAATGGGTGGATCTGAAGCTAAAGCAGTAAGCAAAGGAAGATTCTGGGAAGTCAACCAAAGCAAAGGCAGAATGACGTTCTTAGAAAATGCAACCTGAGCCAGAATTTCATCTTGATGTTATTTATTCTCTTGTGACATTTTCTCTATCTTCAAATCACAGAGAGGCTGCCAAAAGCCAGTGCTGGAGATGGGGCTGAGAATCAGGCTCCTCACTTGCATGGAGCTGGGTGGGAAGCAGTTTTCTCACCCTGTAAAACTTTTCAAGGTTTCAAATCCTGTTCCACCCTTGGGAATGAGAACAGGTTAATGTGAGAAGTGAGTGTAAGAGCCTCCAGGATGGCTAGGGGCTGGTGTGGATGGGACTCACCCCAAACAGGTTCAAACTATTCTTTCTATCCTGTATTTGTTGAATGCCACTAATGCTCTGGGAAAGGTCCCTTTCCAATTATTTCACTATTGCAGTTCTCCAGCAATGCTTCTGAAACAGAATCTACTCCATTTCGGCAGCTTTCCTTTGCCATCACACCTCCTCTGTGGTTTGTCTTGGCTTCCTTCTGCAAGCATGTCATGCAGGGACAGCCAACCCCCTTGGACCAGCCTCCCAGACCCCTGAGCTCACAGCAACACCCCACTCCCTCCAGTGCTCTTAAAGGGCTTCAGCACTGTATTTCAACCTTTAACGAGATCTTTTTTTGACCCATACAAATAAATGCAGTGCAACTTTGACCTGCCACTATGCCACATGCCAGGCACAATGCTGGCTGTGAAAATGGAAATGGCCATTAGCACTGCATGTGACTGTGACCCAGTATGTGGCACGTGGTGACCCAGTTTATTGGGAATGTTCATTATCTTTACATAGCTGAGCGTGCTGGTAAATGCTTTCTGAAACTCTACAGTGGCCCAGGGCACCAAGGCTCAGCAGCAATGAATCCCTCCACCTCTGTGTAGGGCAAGAGCACACTGTTTTTATATGCCTGCAGCAATGTTAGTGATGCTTTGGATACGGCTTGGAGGATGGGGACAAGAGCCTCTGGAGCCACCAGCTGTGTTCAGCATCAGAAAAATGAACTAATGCAAAGGATGTGCAGCTCTTCCACCAGCTGCTCTGCACGGGGTACAACCCATTAGTGCAGCTGAGCTGGGTTTCAGGTCCATTTGTTTAAGTGCTGCTACCACAAGTGACCACACAGCATCCAGGAACCCAAAGAATAAAGCTGTTCAATGGGTTAGTTAAAACTGGGTAGCCAGTCCATTAAAAATCCTCTGTGAGTAAAGGATAAACCTTCAGGGAAAAGGAAAGGTCAGCATGGCAGGACCGAGTTGAGCTCCTGCTTGCCAGTCAGCAGTTACTTAGTTCTAAAATTAATGATTTGTTCATCTCTGACATTAAGAGCTGAATGCAAACTTTGTCCCCAAGAATTTACTGTACAAAAACCAGGCATAAAAGTACAGCCCTGAGTAATCCAGAGGAGGAAAAGCAACTGTTTGCTCACCTTTCATTTCTGTCATCATAGATACACAACTTCTGAATATTGGGATAAGTGACATTTTCAGAGGGAAGGGGAGTGGGTGAGAGGACAACGAGCTTCCCACCAGCATTCTGGAGCCTGTGCCAGCCATTACCTAAGACTGTTTGTATATTATTAATCTGCTTTTGTAACAATCTGCATTTCTGCAGCACAGGGACCTCAGCCCAATCTGAGAACATTCTGCTCTGCTCAGTGCAGGCAGAGGTGGAACATCTGCACACAGCTTTCTCCAGCTCCTCACATATGGTTCATCTAGCTCCTAAAATAACCCTGACAATTGTGGTTGTCCATCACTGTCAACACCTTCTTCTGTGCTTCAATTCTTACTTCAGTGTAAACATAACTATAAAACACACATATCCAAGAAATACTTTTCCATCCAGATAGACTGAAGGACCTTAAAACCATTCCTAAAGAGTCTGCAGCCAAGGTACAACAACCCATTTTTACTTTAATTTTGGCTGTAAGGATTGTTTTTAGCTCTTTCTCCAGTGATCAGAGATGCAAAAAAATCTTCAGTGAGCAATCTATGCCATGGATGTGGCACAGTGTTTGAAAGAGCCATATTCCTTACCTTTTCCAGGAGGAAACAAGCTAAAACAGCATCCATTTATCAATTACATACCCAGCAGGATGACTTAAGCACTCAGGGGAAGTGATAGATGAGGTATTTTAAGCAGAGATAGCACACTTTACTGCCCTTTCTGGTAGTCTGCAGAGCTTCAGGTTTGCAAGGAATACAATGACTAATGCAACCTGAACAAAACCAGACCTGGGCTTTGCATTCCTTTCAAGAACTTCATGTGGAAGAGGAGAGTATCAAATCTTAGTATTTGTTTATGCAGCACATACTACCTGCTTGGCCATCTGTGTGCAGCAGGAAAGCAGACAGGACAAACAGTATCTGGCACAAAAAGCCAAGCAAAACATGTCCTGGTAATAACTTAGAAGAGACTTTTCTTGCTATTTTCCTCTCCAAAGTGGGAGCAGGTGACAGGAAACCTGCTCCTATCCTCCCAAAAGTTGAGGGAGGAGCAAGAGCAAACTCCTTGGATTTCACAGCAATATTTCCTCTCCAAAGTGGGAGCAGGTGACAGGAAAGCATTTCCTGCTCCTATCCTCCCAAAAGGTGAGGGAGGAGCAAGAGCAAACTCCTTGGATTTCACAGCAATAGAATGGCACCTTCTCACCACTACAGAATTAGCGTTAAATCTCAGTAATACAGTAAAATTCAAGCTGTAAATCTTACATACATAAGTGACAGTGTTCCATATGTTCCATACAAACCATTCCTGCCAAAACAGCAAGTAATTTGTGTATTGTTCCAAAGGCTATGGTCTACTTTGGAGAATTTTCCAAAAAATTCCCAAGTGCACACACAGCATTAACACTCAGCTTGTGCCTTCCCCAAGCACAGTACCTGCCCTTTTCAAGCTAAACACTGGGCAATTTTGCTCTCAGTGCTGAAGAAAAACCACAATTATTTCAATAATTCATTCAATAATTGTGTCATATCCTAACATTTGCAATGTAAAGTAGGGTGGCTGTGAAAGACAAACCCTCAGAGTAACAGGGAAGTGTATCTGATGTGGAGGGAGCTTCATTTTAGAGAAATAACTTTCCCAAGTACTAAAACTCCTTCCACAAGACTCTCTCTGGAGGCACCCCCAGCGCGCATTTGAGCGCACGGATTTTTCCAAGCGGGAGAATTTCCAAGGAGTGCCGCTAAAGCTGCCCTTTTCCCAAAGAGTGCCAACTAAAGCTGCCCTTTTCCCAAGGGCTGGGGGATGCCCTACCTGTGAGGCCAGCCTCCGCATGGCCTCCTCCTGGCGCCGGCGCATCTCGGGGGTGCCGGGGCAGCTCCCGCTGGCGATGGACGCGTGCGCAGAAGGCGGCTGAGCCAAGGGCAGCTCCCGGTTGGCATCCACATCTGCCCAAGGAAAAGAGGTTAAGACAAGCACTGATATTATTATCAGAAACCAGGCAGCTGCTGTTTCATGTGCACGGCGGTTCAAATACTTCCCGCAAATACTGTGGTTGGGATTTCAGGGGTTTCCGGGCCGGAGGCTTCTCCAGAAACTTCTTTTGGAAGTAGAAAAGGATCGCTAAGAAAAAGCCTTGAGTTTGTCTTATTCATCTTCCCCACTGTAATTTCATTGACTTCAAAATAATGACAATAATGGAGTGAACTGGGCCCTCTGGCAGGCTCTGCCTTCAGGTTTGGTGGATTTGAGTGCAGAGCTCTCCTGCACTCCACTTCTGCCAACAGACCTTGCCTTGTTATGAACAATCACTAGTTAATTTGGTTCCAAGTCCTCCTTCAGCACAGACAGCCAATTTTTCTGAATTACAGGCTTATTTTCTAACATAAATAAACGAAGAGCCCCAGCTAATACAGCCATCTGAAGCCCATTAATTTAATCAGGGGGAGAGGAGCAGGAGCAGCACAAGGATCTGGAAAAGGCTTGCAAGCAAATAATAAATTATCCTGGAATCATCTCTGGCAAGTTTAACTGTGTCCTAGTGCATTTTAGCTGCCTCTTTTGCCTGGTAAAGCAGAAATTGGCTTTACCAGCAGATTGCTACAGAAGCTCATCCACCTGGCCTTTGTGGATAACATTTCCAAACTATTTTTATTTTCATTTCAAAGTACTCATACGGAGGGTTTTTGAATGACACCACAACAGGCAGCACTTGGTGATGTCTAATTATTGATTATTTTAAGAACACCACCACTCTGAAGTGCAGTCTGTGCTGGCAGAGGATTCTCCTGACTGGATTGCTGCAGTGCATCCCTGAGTTTGACTGGAAATAATAATGCAAACAATGACCCATTTAATGGCAAACAACAGAGGAGAACGACTGCTGCCTCCATAATTAAACCCTGAATGTGTTAGAATGAGGCACGTTCTTGATTCTGAGCATAACACCACTGTCACCTGTATTAATTTTCTGAGTGAGGAATTAGAAGTATGAGGCTGCATTGAAGCCAGTTTAATTAGCTGATTGCACAACTGCCATAGCAGAGTCAGACCACCTGATTAGCACATATTAATTAGCACAGATTTAATAAGCATAATAGATTTTTTTTCAGCATGTGGAAAAAGAAATGACAAAGAAACTTATCACAAAATCAGAGATTAATCATAGAATATCCTGAATTGGAAGGGACCCACAAGGATCTTGCAGAATAATTATTATCTTCTATAGCTAGACTTGTGATCTCTTTAGGAAATCAAATCTAATTAATTACTGATTCTGAAGGTTTCCATCCTAATAACTAACATTGAGGAATCCTTCAGCTTTCAACTCCAGGGACACTTCAGAGTGAACTAAACCATGTGTTAAGTGGGACCAAGGATCTTCATCATCTGTGGACAAAGGGTGCAAGGCACCCCATGTGAGAAATCCAGCTTTTAGCCCAGAAGGGGTTTAGCACAGCCATATCTTTAATGTCCACCATCATCCTAAGGAGACTGGGGACACAGCACAGCAGAGCTGAGGTTAAAATCTAGAAACAAGCCCTGCCTTTCACTACACATTGCTTATTTAGCTCTGACAAGTGACACTGTTCAACATGCCAATCCCGGTGACATTTCAGCTCTTCCGACAGGGCAAGAGCACAGCATTTCCAGTAAACAGATTTAACTACAGCTTCACTGAGATACAGTGACCTACATCCTTAAAGATACCTTCAGGTACCTAATTCAGTATTTTTAGTCCTGTCTTACTCACTCACTGAAAGCTGAGTGATTTTAAAATGTTGTCATCTCTACCTGCAAACCTGCCACTGTGTAGTGATGGGAATTGGATGGGACCAGAGGAGGCAGAGCAATCTTGGGTCCTGAGCCTACAGGGGCTTGAGACCTGCATGGAATATTTACACCACAATTCAAGGAGATAAACAATCTGTATGGGAAGAAGAATGCATTGGCATGGATTCATAATCATAGAATATTAGCTGCCTGATCTGGATGGAGATGTCCACAGCAGGGGGATTGGACTACATGACCTTTAAAGGCCCTTCAAAACAAAATCATTCTGTGATTCTGTGATTCTAAAATTGGAGTCTTCCCAGCCAGAGAAAGTTTGTGATGTTTCTAAGCCAGACAAGTCAGAGACAGACTATTCTGACTCTTCAAAAAGAAGCTTTGGAACAGGAGCAGTACAAAAGGGGCCTGTAGCAGCAGAGAGACTTTGCACAAAAGCATGGAGGGATAGGACAAGAGGGCATGGCCTCAAGCTGAAGGAAGGTAGATTTAGATTAGGAAGAATATAGATTAGGTATTAGCAAGAAATTGTTCCCTGTCAGGGTGAGGAGGCCTTGGAACAGGTTGCCCAGCTTTGGCTGTGGCTGCCCCATCTCTGGAAGTATCCAAGGCCAGGCTGGATGAGGCTTGGAGCAACCTGGGATAGTGGAAGGTGCCTCTGCCTATAGCAGGGGGTGGGAATGAGATAATCTTTAAAGTCCTTTCCAACCCAAAGCATTCAGGCCTTCTATGACACATTTCTCAAAGGTCCTGACTAAGCTTGGGCCTCAAGAGAAACCGGCTTATTTCAGCCAAGACCACCCTAAAAGCTGACGCAAAAGCTCTGAGTTTTGAAGACCCGCGTGCTGCCGCCCTTACGTTTTGGAGAGGCGTGGGGGCTATCTGAAGCAATCTGCCTCATCCTGGTGCCGTGGCAGCTGAGCGCCACCAGCCTGGAGATGATGGCGGTTTTGCCGAAGCCGATGTTGCCGACGATGACCACGCCGCGGTTGACGCTGGCGTTGGAGCTCTGCAGCTGCGCGTCGATCTCGTGGAACACCCAGTCCCGGCCCACGAACACGGACTCCGTGGTGATGCTGGGCACCTCGAAGAGCAGCGGCTTCAGGGAGATGTCGGGGGGTCTGTAGGGCGCGAAGCGCACTGCAAAGGGAGACATGGGAAGAACATCAACGCCCAGTTACCGTCATGTTTTCTGGAAAAATCCCTCCGCCAGGATTTCGCTCCTGGGAAGCTGAGAACCATCAGAGAAAAAGGAAAACAGTATTATCTCCTTTGCTTCTCCTGTGTTTTTATGCTTTTAGAATGTGGTTTGAAGATTGTTTATCCAACAGGTGGTTGTTTCATTGGTTTCATGTGAATTGCTTTTACTTATTGGCCAATCACAACCAAGCTGTGTCCAGGCTCTGGAAAGAGTCACAACTTTTTCAACAGTATATTTTAGCCTCCTATCTGTATCCTTTCTGTATTCTTTAATATTCCTTAGTATAGTTTAGTTTAGTATTCTTAATATAATATACATAATAAAATAATAAATTAGCCTTCTAAGAACATGGAGTCAGATACATCATTCCTTCCAACGTTGGGGTACCCCGAAAATACAAGATACGCCAGATGGGAAAGCAGAGTTTGGAAACGGATGTTTATCTCACACAGAAATCTTTCTGTTACGAAAGGTGAAAACACAACACAATTCTGTGTCACCCACAGGTTTGTTGTGAAAGCATCTGTCTCATCCACAGTATTTTCCAGGGCATTGAAGATTTTACAGGGAGTAGCTTAGAGCTGGGGAAAAATTGTGGCTGGAGAAATTAATTTTCCTCTTAAATCCAGTGCCTTTGAAGGCTCTGGGCAGAATGCTGCACTCTGGGAGACAGGACTGATGGCTGAACACAGAGACACACAATGCATGTTCACCTGTTCAACCTAACGAGCCCACAACAATCTCAGCACCTACAAGTGTTAATTCAATCTAAGCAAAGTTATTTCGATTCTTCTGGAGTAAATAAATTAAGCCAGATTGTTGACAGGATATTTCTGTTTGGCAATTAAAGTATCTTCTCTTTTCACAATGAGAAATGATGCTTTAGAGCACCATAAAGTTATCAAGAAGAGCAAGAAATACCTCCCCAACAGACCATGTGTGCTGGTGCTGAAGAAATACTGTGCAACTTCTCTAGAGCCCAAGCAACAAATTTTTAAAATACTGAACTGAAACACTGCCCACCACATGCAACTGGGCTCTTCCCTGTTGCTGTAAACTTCAATTCAAGCAACCCAGATCTGGGTGTATTATATTAAACTAAGCAAATGTCTGACTTTATTTCCTTTACTTGCTTTAGACTGCAACTTTTGGATAGTAGGGAAAATTTCTTCACTTAAAGGGCTGTTCAGCCCAGGGCAGTGGTGGAATCCCCATCCCTGGAGGGATTTAAAAGGATGTGGCACTTGTGGACATGGCTCAGTGGTGGCCTTAAGCAGTGCTGGGGGAATGATTGGATTTGATGAACTTATTGGATGCATTTCAACCTTTATGATTCTGTGATTCTTTCAAGTGTCATCTTAAACATGGCATGAAACCAGCTCCTTTTTTTCCACAGCCTCTGTGTCTAAAAATGCTGAACTATTTTTTAGTGTTTCTAAGAAGCACATGAACTCTCTTACCCACAAGGCAACAGTATTAAACACATACTGTGAGGAAAATCCCTTGAAAATTATAAAAACAACTTAAGGAAAGCATACCACTGCCATATCACATATACAGATCCACAATATATTGGGGGAGTTGGAACTATCCTCTCCTCCATCCCACACATCACCCAAAAATCTTGGTTCTTCCCATCCTGCAACACTTTTCCTGACATTTGCTTTCTGGAGAAGAAAACCCACGGTACACCACAGCCATCAGCTTCTGCCTTGGGTTACAGCAACCTGAAAAGCCTCACATCCCCAGGGATGAAAATGTGGAAAGTAAAAAGTGCCTTCCCCATCCTATTAAAAAGCTGTCACTGGGATGAATCCTTATCACACTCTTAGCGTTGGGATTCCTCCACTGCTCCCCTGCTTAAAATAATTGATTTAACAAAAAATAGCACATTTAGTCTCTCTCACTGGGATTTTGGAACACTGGGAACAGACAGTGGGCTGTAATGTGTCCCCCAGCACTGCACCACGAATGTCTTCACAATTTCAGCCCAGTGCAAAGATTAGGGATATTAAAATTAAACACTAGTTTAGGATTTCCAGCTGGAACAAAGAGTTGCAGTTTGTAATAGTCCAGATTGATGCAATTTCACAGCACAGCTGCACAATGCAGCATTTCAGGGAAGAGCCCCCCCTTGCATATGCAATGACAAGAAAATATTTCCAAATAGTGATGGTTTGCTTTTTCACATCTTCTCCCTCTCTTTTTAACAACAGCACAGCACCTCAGGTAGGATAAGAAACAAACTTTAAAAATGTGAAACACTGCTGCTATTTTCATGCAACTGTCACAAAAAGGGGAAAAAAAAAACAAAATGCAGAAGGAAAATATGTAGTGCTACAAGGGTTTCAAAAGTGTGTCTGGAAAACAATTTGATTCTGTTCCTACAATAAAGTTGAATGTTTTGGATGCAATCACTGCAAATTACACAGCCTTGGCAAGCTCCTGCCTCCAAACATATGGAAATTTGGTCTGTCAAACTTTGCTTTCTCCACTTACTGCCTGCTAATGCACTTCTAGAACTGCCTCAGCAGCCAGGAGGATTTCACTGTAGAAATCCAAAACTCACAAACCCATTCTTTGGGGGGCTCATGTGTTTGGTACAAAGTCCTGCCAGGCTGTACCAGGTCGAGCATGTTGGGTAAAACCCAGCCTGTGCCTTCCAGCTCCCCAGTTCCTCACCCTCCAAAAACCCCCTAGAGAACAGGGAAGTTTCAGGTATGGCCAAAAGAAACCCCTCATCTATGCACAGGGGAGAATAAACCAGTCCCATGGCATAGAAACAACCTGAAAATATCCCAAATGAGCTTTCTCAGCCACTTACTCATCTGTGCAACAAAAAATGATGGGGCTGAAGCATTAGTCTGGTGATCTGCTGCAGACTCAGGACTGTCACAGTAACAGCTTAAGCATGTGGTGGAAGACTGAGCTCAGATTAAAAGAGGGATGTAAGTTGAAGGGTGGGCTGAAATCCCAAGGAGATGGTGCAAACTGAGCTAGAGCTGCCTGGGAATAATAAGCAAAACACTAAAATGTCAGCCCTGGCTCCTCTTCTCATTGCTAACGTCTTGTTTGTGGAATTTGCCACAAAGAACCACAAAAATTTACCCTTCAAAAGGCTTTTTAGAACTCAAAGAGCTGCCTGAATACAGGCATTGTGAGCAACCCTACAAGCAGTGGCTGAGCTGGTGGCCCCATCACTGCACTGGGCTCCTTCCCCACTGGCACACTGCTGAATGCAAGTGGGAACTGCAATCCCTGGCCTTGACTGAAAAAATATGACAAAACGGTAGCAGTCCATAAAATATCTCATTTTTAATAACTTATCAAATTATTAAGCCCAAGGAGACCAGCTGAGAGCTGGTGGTATTCATCCTGGAGAAGAGACAAGAGGAGGCTCTGGGATAACCTTAGTGCAGCCTTTCATTGCCTAAAGATGCTCCAAGAGAGCAGGAGAGGGACTTTGGACAAGGGCCTGAAGAGACAGGACAGAGGGCAGGGTTGGAAGAGATGAGGAAGGAATGAGGGTGCTGAGGCTCTGGCACAGAGCAGCTGTGGCTGCCCCTGGATCCCTGGCAGTGCCCAAGGCCGGGCTGGGCAGGGCTTGGAGCAGCCTGAGACAGCGGAACGCGTCCCTGCCACGGCAGGGGTGGCACTGGATGAGCTTTAAGGTCCTTTTCAACCCAAACCATTCTGAGATTCTGGTTTTCACACGGACATGGATGAAGTTCCCATACAGACACCCCCAGGGTGGGAAGCCCCCAGGGCCTCGTTGTGCTCCTACCTCGCAGGTCCTGCTGCGCCCGGGCGCTGGCCACGCTCTGCCGCGGCATCCGCAGCGACGTGCGCAGGGGAGTGTGCCTCTGCTCGTCCAGGTAAGCCAGGTCTTCCAGGTGGGCTGAGCTGGTGGCTGCCACGAGAAAGCAAAGAAGTATACATCATGCCTGGCTTTTGGATCTCATGCTCTGGTTACTGTATTTTTCTGTTTTTAATGAAAATACACGGAGATGTAAGTACCGTGAGACAACAGAGCTGACGTGAACCAAGAACCACTTCCCAAAGTGTTTTGGTGACTTCTTCTTATGCTTCATTGGTATTTGCTCTGGTCTGGTCTCCTGTTGGTGTTCCCAAATAAAAGAAGATACCTCCAACTATTCCAGGGTGCTCCAAGCCCTCTGCAACCCAGTTTTGGACACTTCTAGGGATCCAGGGACAGCCACAGCTTCTCTGGGCACCCTGTGCCAGAGCCTGCCCACCCTCACAGGGAAGGATGTGTTGTAAGAATTGCTCCCAGTTGTAAACTGCTCAGTGGCAGCAGGGACACAATACATTTAGCAACTGTACTTTGTAAGCTGCTATAAAAATGGGTGGTTTTGTGCTGTTTTGGAAGATATTTGGAAAGAATCTTAAAAAAAAAACTAAAAAGAAAAAAAGGAGGAAAAAAAAAGCCAGCAGGTGTAAGTGCTGCTATGCTTTGCTTCCTAAGAACAGACTGTACACAAACTCAACTGTATTTGTAAAAAAAGAGAAGAACCTGTTTCAGAAAAGCTGTGAATTCATGATTACGTTAAAATGTGGAATACCATGGAATACCACTAAAAGAAAGGCAATATTTTTCCCCATTCCCAGCTATACTGTCTCCACACTGATGACCTTGAGGCTCAAAATTAATATACCTATTTTCTGGTGGGTTAATTTTCAGTTGGATTAGTCAACTAATCTGGTTTATCAAGTGGTTACCCAACGTGTGTCACTGGAGCAAGGACATGGAATTGGCAGCTCAGCATTAACTCTTTGAGCAACGTCACATTTGCAGACAGACTTAAATCAACTCTGAAACTACACTTGGTTTCCCTTTCTCATTATTCAGGCACAAAGATAATGAGGTTAAACTCTTTGGTGAAAACCACCCATATAAATCCACTACCTAAACCCCATAATTTTCTGGTGCCACAAGCATACCAGAGCTCATATGTGATCATTTGATGATAAAATGTTAAGCCAAATCTTGAATTCTCATCATACTTACTTCCATGATTTAACCTGGGACATGAACTGTGTTAGCTGACATAGTACTTCAAAGCAGCAAAATCTCTACCAAAAAATAAACATCTAGAAGGAAAAGTTGTTCCTGAACTTTACTGGATAGATAGTTTCCTCTTGAAATAGTATTTGCCTCTAAGTGCACCAAGCAAGTCAACAACTTCCAAAGACAACTAAATGAACATACATGTATTTAAATTTATGGTGTCCAGCCTGCTTTGTTTGCTTTGGAAGATGTTTACACAGTGTCACTTATAAGGAATTCACCTAAAGCAAGCAGGCTGTGGAAGCAGAGTTTCCCTCTCTTCAGTCTGAAATCTCAGGTTTTCAGTCTGTGCTGCACCTCCATGCTCTGGGCTGGTACTTCACCATCTATAAATCTAATTTCTGCACTGCTTTTAGGTCTGTGACCAGCCAAAGCAGGATTAAAAAGGAAAACTAATCCAGTTATGCAATGCAGCCTGGTTCACCAAGGGATGCTGATTTAACAGACAATATCCCTGGCTCTTTGGAGTACCTCTCAGAAGTGTCTCTGGGTTTTCTGGAGCAGCGTCCCCCAGGACTCAGAATTCAAAGTGTGGATTTCTCCACATGTCTACACAGACACACAGACACCACGTTTTATCCCAGAGAAGTTACCCAGCAAGAAAAAAATATGGGGCAATAAAGGAACAGGGAGTAATTCCAGTCAAGCAGCTTTGCAGCAAAGCTTTAATATTTCTAATCCCATCTCTTTTTTCTGCCCTGCTGTTACCAGCTTCAGGGGAACGCTCAGCGGGCTGGTAAAAGGCATCAATAAGGTATGGCACAGCATCATTTAGAAATGTTTCAAAGAACAAACATGAATGCAAATGAAATTAATGTTGATTTTATGCCAAGACAAAAAATGCCAGTCATTAGCAAATGCCAGGTGCTGTGAGGTGTGAGATGTCTGGGGCACAGTCCACCAGGAGCGATAGGACCCAGAGCAGATCTTCTGCAGACAGAAAGTACCACGATTCTCTTAGCTCCAGAGCTGTTAAGCTCTTCAGAAAAAATGAGATAGGTTATTTTACTTGCAATGAATCCTCTGAAAAAGTAGAAATGGCTATGATGTCATGGCACCTTAAAACCAAGACATCTGCATTGTAATGACAGTAAAGAATCTGGCTTTTTCTTTTTAAACATATTCTCCTGTAATCGTGTACAATTTTGTAAGAAAGTGATCATAAACTGCTGAAATAACCATTAAACACCATCAGAAACAGTTTTCCACAGAGGAATTTTTCATTTAGAACCAGTAAGTCAAAAAAACCCCAATTTTTGTCATTCTTAAGTATGATGACTCCAGGAAGGAGATTTCTTCTTGGATAAGGAAACACAAATTTCTTACCTGCTACTGAATTTGGCCGTGGCATAAGGTACAGAGGAATTGACTGCACTGATTGGGACAGGACTGTCTCCAGGTTCCTCTCAGGGATTTTGTTGAGGCTGTAGGTGGAGGCTGACATGTTCTCATCCACACGGTACAGGCAGGAGTCCATGCTGGATTTCTGGGATTGCCACTGTTTCAGGTTTCCCCCAGATCCAAGTTCCTTACTGCTTTCCCCTCCATATTTAGTACGTTCCACATTTTCAGAGTAACTTGTCAATGTAGCTTGAAGGAGGAAATTATAAACAAAATTAGTAACAAAGAAAGAATGGCTTGAACACACGCTGCTCAATGTTGAGCTGAGCCATGCAAGAGCCAAAAATGATCTTCATCATATTTTCCATATCCACATAAATCAGAGATTATGGATTTTAGTTTAATGATACTGTTTCTGCTTATGACTTCTAAAAGAACATTTAAGCTCTAATGTTTTGGCTCATACTGTTAAAAGCCATTTGTAATTACAAAGAGTATTAAAAATTCTGTGCTGCATTGTATTCAAATACACCATTCCAGAAAGAACAGAAATTATTCAGGAGGAGACATTACCATGGCTCCTCATGTCTTTTAATGGGCATCATAGTTTCTACCTTTCCTTTTCCAGGGAATGTTTGCAGAAGTTTGCAAGGTCTTACACTGAGAAGCCTCCACCGACCTGCCTGAACAACCAGCTCCAATGGATTGGTTTGGTTCAGAAACTGAACCCCTTATCTCATTTGACTGACAGTAAGTTTTTATGAAGCTGTAACTGTGATCCACTCAGTTTCCCCTATATTATTTCATTTTACAGATGAGGATTGTTGCCATATTGACTTTCCTACTGGGAAGTGACACTCAATTGATCCAGAACACCCCCATGTTCTCCCCATTTGTATTTTCTCTTCTGGATTACAGTGTAGTTACCCCCTGGCTAAATAATCCCTTTGGGCTATTGACCTTTCTCTCATCTTTATTCCCCAATGTATTCATTCAAGGTCATAATCTTAGTCAGCAGTTGGGACAAGGTCCCAACACTCACACCAGCTTATCTGAGTGTGTTAGAGAATCACAGAATGGTTTGGGTTGGAAGGGACCTTACAGACCCAGACCCACCCCCTGCCATGAGCACCTTCCACCATCCCAGGGTGGTCCAAGCCCTGCCCACCCTGGCCTTGGACACTGCCAGAACAGGGCACAAACAATCTGGGACAGTGGAAGCCACAGCTTCTCTGGGAAACCTTCTCCTTATCCATCCTAACAGACTCCACAACAGCTTCAACCTTTACCCCTGTTTCTATGGCTTGATGAGTACTGGGTTTCTTTCTAAGGAGCGCGCTCAGTATCTTTGCATCCCATCAAATGTTCCAAAATTTAGTTGCTTACAACGTATTTTGAAATTTGAAACCAACACGTGAAACTGCTAAGAACTGGTATTTGTTTGTTTGCATTTATACACAGGCTTGCTGTCAGGTAAACATATTTATGATTTAGGGTAAGAAAATCAGATAAAACCAGAAAACAGCTATTCACACATTTCTCTTGATCCCTCAAATTGTCTGAGAAATATCTTTGAAATGATTCTCTATAAAAAAAAACTCAATTTCAAAGACTGGGTTTGCAGGGCAAGGCATGCCATATTTTCTATTCACAGAAAAAAATCCCCATTGATCCATCAGGATCCATTAGAATCTGTTAATTTCAAAAGTCTATATCAATATGTGTCTAATTAGTCTTTGTAGAAACAAATCAGCAGCTGACATCAGTCATCTTCCATCTGATGAAAAACAAAATAACCATGTGTCAAAATAAGTTTTCTTTAAGTGAAACAACAAAAAAGAAAAAAGAGCTATTAAGTCCTGCTGCCCCTTTTTCTAATCAACAATTTGTGTTCATTCTAAACACAATTTTCTCTGGTTTACACTAAAGCTGTTTTATGTGCAAACTCATCATTGAATCAGATATTTAGGACTGTTCCCTGTGGATTAATTTACCTGCTGAACAGCCCTGGATGATCTAAGTGCTGCTGCACATGCTGAAGTGATGGCTCTATGGATTTAATCTCTTCAAGGAGCTATTTTAAACCAAAATAATTTTAACTTCAGTTAAAAAGCAAAAGCATCAGGTTAGCTGTGAGTCAGCAACATGAACTGACATGCTGAGCACATCTCCCATAGTGTGACCCCCAGAGCTGCTCAGACACTACACCCTCACCATGAGGACTGGAGAAAGCCTATTTCAGAAAGATAATTTCAGAAAATTTATGTTATCTGCAACTACTAAGATGTCGAGCGATATTCAGGGGAGGAAAGTTGTGAACACCAGATTGGCAGATAAATACAATGAAAGTGCCAAGATTTGGGGAGCCCTGAAATGGTCAGGGAGTTGGATCAGGTGATTATTGTAGGTCCCTTCACAGTGAAATATTCTATTCTATTCTATTCTATTCTATTCTATTCTATTCTATTCTATTCTATTCTATTCCATTCCATCCCATCCCATCCCATCCCATCCCATCCCATCCCATCCCATCCCCTTCTTTTCCATTCCATTCCATTCTCACAGGATGAGAGGGAACAGCCTCAAGTTGCACCAAGGAAGGTGAAGGTTGGACATTAGGGAAAAGTTTTTCATTGAAAGGATGGTGAAGTCCTGGAACAGGCTGTCCAGGCCAGTGATGGAATAACCATCCCTGGAAACATTCAAAAAACATGTGGATGTGGTACCTGGGGACACTGCAAGGGGACTGAAATTAGCTGCTCCTAAAGGTCCCTTCCAACACAAACCACTCTATAATTCTATGATTTTTAAACACATGCACACCTCATTAATCAAAAGCTAAAAAAAAAGCAACCTTTGAACTGACAGCGTGCTCTAAACTGGGAAGAGATCAAATGATGAACTGATGAACTCAAATCTATCAAAGAGCAGGAATTTTTGCCTTAAGCCATCTGCAGAGAGGCAGATCCTTCAACCCCAGCCTCCAGGGGACAGGTGGGACACGCTGGGGGTGCCACAGCAGGAACCCACCGGGGCACCAGAGGCTACGGAAGAACACTTGAAGCTCTTCAATTGCTAAATCCAGACAAAAAAGAACAACCCTGGTGAAAAAAACCCAGAGCCTTGCCATGCCTGGGCCCCACTCCATCGGATCATAGACCACAGTGCGTGCTGGCGAGCTGGGAGCAAACAAAACACCGCAAGGATGAAGAAGGATGGGACAGCGTGTGAGTCACACACAGAACAGGAGAAACCTGACATGCACAAACAGCTGAGGTTCTCTCTAGCACCCAAGTAATACCACAGGGACATAAATATAGATGTATGTGCATATAGATCTGTGTATTTATAGAGACATAGCTGTGTCTCCAGTCTCCACTGGTGCAGTCTCACGCTATTTAATGTGAGCACAGACAGAATTTGAGGCATCCAGATCATCTGACTGCTGGAAAACACATAATGAATGATATCCCATGGAAAGCCCCTTGGATGTGTGCAGGCAGTGTGGTGCCCGTCCACAATCCTGTCTGCAGCTTTTTCCTGGGATTTGCTGAATCTCTGTCCCCATGATCCCAACCCACCCACAGCACCAGCACCACCTTCAAGCAGCTTTGCAGGCACATGGACTGTGGTGCCAGGAGGGAATACACTCCAGAAGTGCTGGAGCCACTTCACAATCCCACCCTGCTTTGAGCACTCAAGATTTACTCCAGTGTTCCCTCTGTCAAACCTTCCTTTTCCAATGTGGCTCGTTTCCCTTGGAAACAAAAGTTCTGATTAGAACTTTTTGCAAATAACATGGGTGAAATATTTTAATTTCTTTGGGGAAATAACAGAGCTGTACTGAAGCAGCAGCAGCCCCCCTAGACAGCACCTCAGCACTACAAACTGCACTACACTTCTCAAAACACTTTTGTATATTTACAGGCCACAAATATTATTTCTCATTTAGCTACAAGCTGGCCTATGCCCTGGGAGGTTTTCAACTGAATGTGTTTCTAGTCAAACACACAAGGGAATTTTTACCATCCCATCCAATTCTGTTTGAGGCAAAGACCATGCCTGGAAAACATCAACCTTTACATTCATCTTCCAGCTGTAACTGTGGGAGAAGCAGTTTTTGTAGGTCCCACGTGACAACGAGCGACATCTGTATCATTAATTATATGTAAAGATTTATAGTGCCTCAAGTAAGAAACAGGGATTTTGTTCATTTAAAGAAATAACTGCAGCAAAGCAATGAGCTTTCATATGCTGCAGTGCAACAAGCTCCAAACCCAGCCTGAATTAACCTCATTTCACTTCAGCACCTCTTGCCTCATTTCATTAGAGATGTCCCAGCTAACACGTACAAGTTGGCAAGGAGTGAAATAAATTTTTTACCCTAATCTACATAAGCCTCCATAAACTCAGCCACAGAAGGATACACCTAAATATAGCCACATCACCCCAGACCACTCCAGCTGCCAAAGAGAAAAATTTGGCAGGCAGGAAGTGTAAGTCCAAGGGCCAGCGGCAGCCTCGTGCAGTCACACACTGTCTGTGCCCCAACAACCTTGGTGCACCTCTAAAACATTATTCTCTGCTGGACACCAACAGGCAGTGAGTTTATGGCATCTCCATACCAAAAAAAAAAAAAAAAAAACCAACCCCAAAAGCCCTGAGGTCTGTCCTGCTCAAGGCTTGAGGCCAAAATCCACACCACTTGCTGGATGTTTAACTTCTCTATCAACAGTGGTCTCAAATAGGAGAAAAAGAAAATTAAAATCGCTGGCTTAATTCACATAAACAATCCCACAAATAGATAGACATTAAACAGGTAAAGCCATTTCTGTGTCAGGCCTGGGGGTGTTATAAATCATGGTGAGCATGCAAAAGGTCCTAAAACGTAATGAAAAATACCTCGACAGTAGCATCACCTGACCCTAAATCCGTTCTGTGCTAAATCTGAATTCCCTGCTGCACCAGCTGACAAGCAGGATGAGGAATGGGATGAAGAATGGGATGACAAATGGGATGATTGCCTTGCAGGGCTCTATCCTGGCTGCTACTCAGGCTAGAAATGCAAGGTCTGGGTAAAACAGTTCTGCAAGAGAGTGAGACCCTTCCACCTCCTGGGCCCAGCTCCCTGCAAGCACTGTGAACAGAACAGCTAAAACAGTTTAGAAACTGCAGATTATTACTTGCAGAAACAAGGTAATTACTGTTTTAAGCATACTCCACTACTGTAACCATGAAAGAAATCTGTTAAAAAGGTCCCAACTCTAATACAGAGGTAGCAGCCTTAATGATCTTTACCAAAACATCAACTCTCTTTGGGGAATGAGCCCAACTAGAAGCCATTGAGATTCAAAAAAAGATCTGTAATTCTCAGAAATGTTATTCATTATTAACAGAGCATTTCATAATACTGATGAGAATGTCAGAATTCAAATGCTGTAACTGTAAGATCACAAAAATATTTAACCTGAGTTAAATTTATCTTGATGTGTCTTTTGAGCTTTGTTCCCTTCTCAAAGCAGATGAAGCTGGAAACAAATCCATCTTGTTTCATTGTCAGCAGCATCTATTCTGCTTAGCAGCATCTATTTTGCTTAGCAGGCACTTGGACAAATTTATTAACAAACCTATTTTTAACCCAGAAACACATACATCTGTAGAAAGCAGCATCTTGATGAAAGCTTAGGAATAAAACGAAAAAAACAGCAAAAAAAGAGTAACTGGAAGAGGCCAGGGATTCCCAGGAGGGGACAGGGCTCTTTTATATGTTATTTTCCATCAAATAAATCCACAAAATCTAAGTGAAGACATCTTGTCCATACAGTACCAGACCCGGGCACTTCACTGAAGCAGCGGGGCCAGAGGATTTCCACTGCTCACTGCTTCCCCTTTGAAGCTGCTTCCCCTCATACCTGTGTCCCTGCACAGGATGATCCCCTGACACTTCAGCAGGGAACAGAGTGCAGATCATCACAGGGAAAAAGCGTGGCCCCATTTCAACTTGGGGTATGAACACACTTGTACAGGAAGATGCCACATGGAAAACAGCCATTCCTTAGGAGACTGCTGCTAATGACATAAAGTGCTGCTTGAACTTCACTTGGATAAGCTTTGCATACTGGCAAGGAAAGTTTGCTGGTTATTTCAAAGGATTGCTAAGACTGGTGGAGGTTTTCCTGTATTCTGCTGCATTTCAGCAGTGAAGTTTCCAAGCTCACACTGGAGAGGCTGTGAGGTGCAAAGTTCCCTCAGAGCAGCACATGATTCTTTGACCAGTTTTCTTTTCAGTAGCAGATTTTTGAACATTAACAGTTGGCTGCTTTTACATAGTGAGAGCCAAAAAATCCTGGAAGCTATTCAGAGGTTACAGTCAGGTCAGGATTTTCACCAGCCATTCTGTTTTATATGGAAAGGATTCCTTGGCATCCAGGAGAAAGGGCTGACTTGCTCCTACCTCTGCTCTTGTCTCACCTTCTCCCCCATTCCCCATTGCTTTTATATTCAAATAAAGAATATTTGAATTTGAAGATGTGGACGTTGTAACTTTTTTTTTTTATCCTTTCAACCTTTGCTCAGCTCTTAGAACCAACTGACAGCTTGGGCAGAGGCAGGACCCAGCTGGGATCAAACACCCACTTGTACTCACTGTGACCCTCAGCCCAGCCCAGCTTTGGGGCTGGATGTGGGAGAAGCTGCAGCTCTGACGGTGGGATATGGTGAGCAGGGAAGTGAGGGGGTGGGATCCTGCAGTGACTTTGCCCAGGATTCATTAACCTACTTTGGCACACAGCTCAGAATAGCTCACCCATTTGCATTTTAAGATCACGCAGGCAGAAGTGCTGCAAGGGTTGCTGTGGTATCCAGGAGCTGAACTAAGCCCAGATTCCCTGATCAGCCAAGCAAAATGTTAACCACTAGTGCAACTAACCTCCCCAAATTATCAACCTGCGTTTCTTGGTTTTTTTTCTTAAACACTACATAAATTGTTAGCAAAATAAAATCTTCTTAAGCTGGAGAAATACTCAACCTAGAATATACAGCAAAGACACCCAAGTGACAATCATCCTGTTTGATATCATACAAACATTAATGTTTTCCCACTGTGCCTGTACAGTTACTGAACAAAATTAATCTGTGTATATTTTCTCCAGATTCTTTACACCTGCAACAGATCACTCAAATGAGAAACCTGCTACAGCACCTACCGAAATTCACTGAAATTTGTGATAATTTAGTTCAGCTCCTCCTGCCCAAGGCTTCCTCTTGCACCATTTAAACAATTTCCAAAAGTAAATTAATTGATGTGAAGTTATCAACCTCATACATCCCACTTTTCACCAACTACTATATAGTTTTACCTATGAGGAATGGAAGATGGAGGGGTACAGATCACCTTGGTCACTGCAGTATAAACCTGAATAATGTAAAACCATTCCCCTAATTAGCAAATACAGATAAATAATATTATCCCAATAGAGTACTGCATCTAGCTCTGGGGTCCTCATGAAACAGCTGGGGTGAGTCCAGAGCATCATGTTGATGTTGGTCCAGCATGAGTTGATGACATGCCTGGAATCCCTCTGCTCTGGAGCCAGGCTGGGAGAGCAGGAGTTTTTCAGCCTGGAGAACAGAAGGCTCCAGGAAGACCTCAGAGCCCCTTCTGGTGTCTAAAGCAGCTCCAAGAGAGCTGGAGAGGGACTTGGGACAAGGGCCTGGAGTGACAGGACAAGGGGACATGGCTCCCACTGCCAGAGGGCAGGGCTGGATGGGATATTGGGAAGGGATTGTTCCCTGGGAGGGTGGGCAGGCCCTGGCACAGGGTGCCCAGAGCAGCTGTGGCTGCCCCTGGATCCCTGGCAGTGCCCAAGGCCGGGCTGGACGGGACTTCACCTGGGCCAGTGGAAGGTGTCCCTGCCCGTGGCAGGGGGTGGAAACTGGATGGTCTTTAAGATCCTTTCCTGGGATTCTCTGACTACAAACCAAACCTTGTCAGACCAGCCCAGCACACCGGGGGCTCAGCCAGCAGCAGCGAGGAGGAGGAGGAGGACGAAGAGGAAGAGCACGGCCCGTCACTCACCGATGATGCCGCTGTCTCTGCTCTCCAGCGTGGACGTGGGGCTGGTGACAGCGCCGTAGGTGCAGTCCTTGGCCGTGACGCTGGCGCTGACGGGCGGCAGGGTGGAGCAGGGGCTGCTGGCCGGCGGCGAGGCCGTGCTGCTCGTCAGCGTGGAGCAGGGGCTGATGCGCTGCGTCACCGCCGAGCTCTGCAAAGCAAAGCGACGCATCACTCACCGCGGGCACTGCGAGGGGGGAAAGGCTTTCTGGAGGATTTGCTTTGTCTGGTGAGGTTAAAATGTGCTGTACAGTTTGAAATGAAAACATCCGCCAGGCCACCCCCCACCTGTGGCAGGCACTGGGCTCGGTTTCTCCTTCACGCTTCGGAGATCCCTGCCTCCGTGTTCAACAGGAGCCACAGGAAACATAAACAGCAGTGTTTATCAAAAGCCTGGTTCCATACTTGATCAGGAGTTTTGGTTGGTTTTTAGCACCGAACTGAAAGCTTGAAAGAAAAAAGCACAAATAAGCAAAAACCGTGACAGAAAGGTAAATTTGGTGGCTCTGTTAAAAGTGGAGAGCTCTGGGGTGGGAAACACACAGCGTGATCTCACCTTTACTTACAGTTACAGTCACCACATCCAGGAAATCCTGCAAAGACCTCCAGGCCATTTCCATCTGCTCAGAATCCTTGTGGGGCTGCAGTTTTTATTTTGCCCTATAAATGTTTCCTCCATTCCAGGAAAACAACAGAGATCCTTTATCTAGATACCAGATGGCCTTTCCCTGCCCAGGCATGCTTTCCCCACCAGATAAAATTTAAACAAACCCTCAATAATATGGAAAATAAAGCAGCACAAAGAAGATGAAGTTTTAAAAGTGATTTTTGGTAAGACCCTATAGAATACTATGTGCAAGGAACCTGGTGAAGTTTATCCATCTGATCCTGTGCAGGGAGATGGATTTATTAAAAATCCAAAATAATTCTTGAATTCAATTTGATATGTGACAGAGCCCTTGTTTGTATCCCTACTGGATACAGAAGACCCTCTGGAAAAAGCTTCATTACCTGTCATGCACTTTCTCTTTCCATAGCCTCACACTGCAAGTTTTTCAGATGTTTAAATATACTACTGATTTTTCTAAATCTGCTTTTAATTTTACAAAAATATTTCTAGCTCATTCATTGTAGTGGCCAAATGAAAAACTACTTGTGTGTCATATTCAATGAAAATATTCCATTTTTTTTCCTTTAAAATTGACGGGGTTTATTATTATTCTTAATATAACCTAATACAGGGCTCTTTTTGGCCTGCTGCTTGGCTTGTGTCACACAGGTGTTTTCACCCATCACAGTGGAACTGTCTTGTGATTTATCACAGCTGAAGGGACTCCATCAGCACAATTCAACCATTTAATCAGTTTTTCCCAATATTTTCTTTAACTCGCTGACAGTCCAGTGAACTGCATGAAGTTTAAGGTAATATAATTGGGGAGCTTTGGACAAGGAGGGCCAAGGGTATCCTGGGCTGCATGGGGAAGAGTCATGCTGGCAGGGGAGTGATGCTTCTCTGCCCAGCTCTGCTCAGTTCCATGTCCATTTTATGCTGGGGGCACCAGAACTGTAGAGAATTTCAGGTGGGGAATAACCCAACCCCATCTCAGCTGGGCTTGCTTGAAGCAGAAGGTTGGTTTAGATGATCTCCAATCTCAAACAACAGCATTTGATCAGCTTACATATGGCATCTTCAAGAATGTAAAGCTCTATTACTATTATAAATTCTTTATGGTGGAGTTTTTCTATATCTTTTGTTTTAACTGTCATTTTAAACAAATCCCCACTGAAACTTATCTCAGTACTAAATAACATCCACTAACTTTAAAACACAGAAATCACTGCACTTTAAAGCAAATTAAAATTCAGTGCAAGGATGGTACACTTATCTTCCCTCCAGCTGATAAAACTATTGTTTCATGAAATGCCAGAAGTGATAGAAGCTCCTTTATTTGCTGTGTTATCAATGCAGCTCCTGAAGAACAAGCTCCTTGCAACTGGAAATTATGAAATAACACAGTATATCACTTGGCATTGATTGACATGTTTTATTTTTGTATTGGTATAGAAAATGTTCCTCTATGTGAGATTTAAATATAAATTTCCATTGACAGAACATTCTGTATTATTATTGCTGCTGTTTCATCTGTCACATTTTCACTGAACTTTGAAAAATTACTCTGTTCTGCCAGAACCTCAGTGTCCTTTGTGCTGCTCTGGCAGACAATACAGTTAGAAAGAATTTCCCAAAAAGTAGGAAAAAAATTATTTAATCCTCAGCATTTGAGATCTCCCATTAATGAAATCACGATTAAAAGCACAGAAAACATATTATTTTATTACAATCTGGATTAGAGACTATATCCTTGGATATATTCAAAATAAGGCAACTGAGGGAAAAGGCATGGTAGAGATGTACAGATTGGGGAGTTTCAGTGCAAATACTCCCATTCCTTATCTTCCTTTCAGCTTAAGCACTGGTGAGATGGCAAATAATTATTGTCTCGCCTGAGAAGGCAAAGCATGGCTGGAATAACAAGCAGCAGCTTTTGATACAAAGAATGTTTTCTTTGCTGAGCTCATGTAAATTAACACATTAAAACCAAAAAATTGTTCGAAGTTTTAGATTCAAGTGCAAACTACTGATCAAAGTCTCAATCAGATTTTAATTAATCAATGGCTAACAGAAGAATCTATTTACTTAATGCAAATCCCATAAACGTCTCATTGAGTGATTTTCAACAAGACTGGAAGTAAGGCAGTGGAAGAAATTCCGTTTGGGATGGAGATCTGGAGAGGTTCTCTCAAAATTTGCTGCAATTCAGAAGCAGCTTTAGCTTGGAGGGGAATTGTTTGCTGAGACAGCCAGTGGGAGATGGCAGAGTCAGAAGAGAGCCCCAAAAGCGTGAGATGGCTGGGGCTGAGGTGGAGAGGCTGATGGAGAAGGTTCATTCAGCCTACAGAAAGGACAGGGACACTGGATCCAAGGATAGCTGCACCCTTCCACTACCTGCAGGGCCTGGAGGGAAGACACAACCACACTCCTCTCAGAACTGGAAAGGACAAGGAGCTACAGTCACAGCTTCACACCATTTTTCTACCAGCACCATTTTTCTACTAGCACCATTTTTCTACTACCTACTTTTCTAGGTAGCAGAAAAATGTTTTTCACAGTTAAAGCTGGTGAGCCCCAAGACAGGCTGCCAGGAGAGCCCACTGATCTCCATGAAACCTTCAAACCCTGCCTGGATGAGCCCTGAGAACCACGGCCCCTCCCTGAAGCCAGCCCTGCCCCTGGGGGTGCAAGGATGGGTTGACCTCGTGGGGTCACTTCCAGACTTGAGTACTCCAGGATTCAAGGCAAGTGCTGACATCAGGAGACACTTATAAAGGAAAGAAAAAATTAACTTGGTAATTGAGGAACCAGCCTGTCTTTATCTTCTCCTGAACATGAATAGCATTCAAAGGCCCTGGAAAACTTTTTCATGCAAAAATTAGCACACAGCCCAAGATACCAATCTAGTTTAGAGGACAAGTCTGCTATTTCTCTTTAGATTTTTTCTTTTATTTATTCTCCAAAGACATCTTTGGCTTTAGAGAAAAGATTGGATTTTAATTTCTGTCAAAAGGTAACAACAAAAGGAACCATTTATAGTAGAAAGCTCTGCTTGGCTTTGAAGTATTCAGTTGAAATAGGCGCCTGTTAAAAGGACATTTTCTAGCTCAATGTATAGTACAGTCCATTTTAAATCCACAACTTGCTTTAAAAAAATTGAATGGGAAGTGTTAAAAGTGTAACATATGTGTTAAAGGCAAAAACTTTACAAAATCATATTTCTTGGCTCTCAATCAAACTAGCTCATGCAGGAGATCAAAAATGTCTTATGTCAGTCAGTCAACCCAACCTGGCCCTGGGACGCTGCCAGGGATCCAGGGACAGCCACAGCTTCTCTGGGCACCCTGTGCCAGGGCCTGCCCACCCCCACACAGAGGAATTCCTTCCCAATATCCCATCTAACCCTGCCCTCTGGCAGTGGGAGCCTTTCATGTCACTCCAGGCCTTTGTCCAACCTCCCTCTCCAGCTCCCCTGGAGCCCCTTTAGGCACTGGAGGGGGCTCTAAGGTCTCCCTGGAGCCTTCTGCTCTCCAGGCTGAACATTCCCAGCTCTCCCAGCCTGGCTCCATGTCACTCCAGGACTTTGTCCAACCTCCCTCTCCAGCTCCCCTGGAGCCCCTTTAGGCACTGGAGGGGGCTCTAAGGTCTCCCTGGAGCCTTCTGTTCTCCAGGCTGAACATTCCCAGCTCTCCCAGCCTGGCTCCAGAGCAGAGGGGCTCCAGCACTTGGACCAACTCAGTGGCCTCCTCTGGAATTTCTCCAACAGGTCCACATCTGTTGTGTGATGAGGACAGGCCACTCTTCACTGACTCTTTTTAAGGAATTCAGGTTCTCTGAATTACATTTATGTTAAATATTTGAGTGACTCATGCAGAGTCACCCAGTGACAATTAAAAGAACAGAGAATTGGAAGTGGTTGATGAGCTTTTCTGCTACATACTGGATTAGCCATCTGTCAATTTAAATACAAAAAGGGGTTGGGGGGGGGTGGGGGGGGAAGGCCTCCTATTTTCACTCTCAGCAAAACTGCTAGTTGTCCATACCTGAGGAAAAGGAGAGAGAAACTCAGGCTCAGACAGTTTCTACAAAACCTATCTCATAGCCCAAAGCTTTCCAGCAGCCAGAAGTGTAACAAGCTCCATCACAATAAAGATTTTATGATTTGCCTTCTTTATCTGTTTTCAAGCATGAAATTACCTTGTTGGGCAAATATGAGCAAGAACCATGACTATCTGTGAAATCAGGCTATTACTATTTCCCTCTCCCTTCTGCAGAGACTCTAAGTCTTTATGTAACACTACTGAAGTACTTCTGAAATATCACAGAGAAGATGCCAGGCAAGTACAGATTATTTTGGTCACTATAATCTGATTAGAAACACTGCCCACTCCTACATTTGCAGAAACAGAAAAACAACAGAAGCTGTCTCACATGGCTGATCCCTGAACCACGGCCTGCTGTTCTGTGAGGATGAGTCACGGCGAGATGAGGAGATACAACCTTTACCTCAGCACCATTATTGCATTGTTACCAGACACCTGGTTGCCATGGAATTAGACAATAACCACCCTCTCCCAAACTCCACAGTGATCCCAACCCATGCCATACCTGGTTCTCGTCCTGCACCTCCATGCTGTACTGGGGCCCTGGCTGAACCTCCGTGACTTTCTCTCCGAGGAGGAAGCCCAGGCGAGTCATGAGTGTGTTCGCTGCCTCATCTACGGATGGAGGGGGTCCCAGCTCTTGCTCAGTATCACCTAAACACAAGAAAACCAGATTCAGACAGGAATTGTTTACTTTTGACTGCTGCTCAGTGGTTCTATCGACACAACACCTGTACCTGTTTGTACCCTCAGTATCCGGGTTTTCAGGTTATTCACGTTATTCAAGTCTGTTTTACCATTCCATGCTGGTCATTAATTTTAGGTCATGTACCATAGATATAAGTTTTCTCCAATATTAACTGTTGCTTCTCCTCTCAGTGCTCTTTTTTTTCTCAGCATCTCCCATGGAAGCACACCTAGGTATCTTGTCCCTGTAGCAGAAGCACCAGAGCTACCAGGGAACAAGATTTTCTGGACCAGCGTTGGAGAAGAGCGTTTGCTCTCTTCCCTCTGTTTCTCACAGAGAAGTTACTCACAGAGAAGACAAGGCTAGGAGAGCCATTTGGAAGGTGCTCCATGAGCTGCAGAGCAACCAACCTGTGCTACTAAGTAGTTAAGAAGAAAGACCAGGACAGAAATATGTGTGCAATTTCCACTGTCGCCTGCTGTCCCCAACACACTCATGGTCATACGGAAATCAAGTCTCTCCAGGAAAGACCAGGACAGAAAACACATGTGCAACCACTGTCGCCTGCTGTCCCCAACACACTCATGGTCATACGGAAATCAAGTCTCTCCAAATACAACTCACTTTCTGCACTCCCTCTATGGGCCATGCCATGCCACAAATTCCCCATCAAGTCTGCAAAACAGGCCAAAAACAACATTCCTAATGATTTTTTCTATTTTTTTTCCACCACCTGTAGGGAAAGCAGCACAGACAAGCTTCTAGCTAGCAATGCACACTGGGAAAAGGCCCAGCATTTACACCGGCATTTCTGTAACCTTTTAATTTTATAACAAAAAAAGGAGGAACAAAAAACTGTGGAGGTTTTTGACTTGTTGTATCACATACATAATTTGGGTTCTGAAAGTCAAGTTCCTTCCTGCTCACACCAATAGCAGGGTTAAAGCCTGAAGGTCAAGTTCTTACCACTTTACACTGAAGTAATACTGTGTTTAGTGCAGTTATAGGAGACTAATTAGGATTTGCAATTAGTCTACAGTTAATTATTCATCTGATAATGTACAATCTGGAAAAGAGCCCATCTCCATTTCCTTGCTCCGTCCTGGTTTGGGCTCCTCCAGCACTCAGCCTGCAGCAACAGTAAAATGATGCGACTTTAAATAAAATATTGCTTTTTGATAACTGTAACTGAAACCCACAAATCATGGAACCTGGGATATGTACAAAAATTCAGGAAATGTAAGCCAGTTGCTTCCAGAAATTCACATTTAATCTCATACAGTACAGCTCACAGAAGCTTACAGCAATTTTTGGATGTCTCTTCTGCACTACTGCAAATTAAAAAGCCGGGAGCATCTCCCATGCAACCACGACTGCATTCCTAAGCACCAGGAGCTCTGGGAGTTGAGCATTTGCAGCTGTCCTTCCACCGTGGCTTCACTGTTATGAAAATGGATGATACAGTAGGTCCACGTAAGCTGAGTTATTGAATCCCCATTGTACTGCCTGAACCAACGCTGACGTGAATCCGATAGATTTAAGAGAGACAAATTTAAACGGATGGCCCAATTTGAGGAACTGCTGACCACCCACAGTCAATCTGTGGGCATTCACTGGCTGTAGGAGCCCAAGCCAGAACAGACATAATTTATGTAAAATGAAAACTAGAGAGGCTTTTATTTCCAAGGTTATTTCTTTCTTTAAAAGGTAACGACTACATTTTTAAAGGCAGATTTTTTTGGTAAAAGCCATTCCCTGGATATGGCTCCACAGCTTATTATGCATTCCCATTCTGTCTTCACAACCATGATATTAAAAATATTCAAATTATGCTGACTTACACATCTGGGGCAGAAAGGAACAGCTGGATCTACCTCTGTACTGCCCACCTGGTAGTGCCCAAGTGAGGCAGCTGCAGGGCACTGGGCACAGCCAGTTTCCTCTGGCTCAGTGCTGGGAACAACTCCCAAATTCACTCATTGGAGGTTGAGTTTAACCTTGTCCTTAAAGCCCTGCTTCTTTTAAACTACCCTTAAAACACCTCCAAGGGGCACGAAGCTGGCTTTCACCTGTAAAATACAGAAAACTACAATCTTGCCTCAAGTCATTGTACAGGTGCATTGAAGATATAGAGGGTAATAATTATGTGCTTTGGTAAGAGCCCCAATGGCAGGGCGTTGGAACCACAACATCTTCAAGATCCCTTCAACCCAAAACAGTTTGTGATTTTAACTCACAGAATCACAGAAAGGTTTGTCCTATCCACTCCCACCCCTGCCATGGGCAGGGACACCTTGCACTACCCCAGGCTGCTCCAAGCCCCATCCAACCTGTCCTTGGACACTCCCAGGGATGGGGCAGCAACAGCTGCTCTGGGCACCGTGTGCCAGGACCTCAGCACCCTCACAGGGAATCATTTCTTCTTTACATCTGATCTAACTCTGACCTCCTTCACCTTAAGGTTCTTCTGCCTTGTCTTGTCAGCCCATGCTCTTCCCCTGCGAGATACTGGTCATGGTACAAGGTATCACCAGCTGAACCAGAGCAGTGGAGCTGTGAGACCCCCATATTTCATACAGAACTACCAATTATTTTATTACAACCTAGCTTTCAGAGTGCCTATAACTTTGAATTTAAGCAAAGTGCCGCTGTATTGGATCATCCCTTCCTAAAGTCTTAAAAAATAAGTGGAATAATTTAACTGAATGTCAAAGAACAGACATAACAGCTCTGAAGTGCCTGTGAATGGGTATTATGGAAAAAAGCTGTATGTTGCCTTTCAGGGCTGACAGTAAGACCTAATACTCTCTTCCTAAGTTCAGTGAAAGGGCATTACTGGTTTTTTCTCCCTTCTCCTGTGTGTTATCCAGTTGGTGCTGCAACCACATTTTACCCTAACTTCAACTCTCAAATGGGAGCCTGTATCTTGGCTCACTTCTACCCCTAATGAAGAGGGTCTGCTGCAACAAGTGGAGATACCTAAGGCTCACACAGATACCTTTTTCTCTTTATTTTGAACGATTTTAGCAGATTCCAGCAGTGAACACCCCCATACTTTCCATCTACTTCTGCCTCTTTTTTGGTTAATGACTTTTTCTTTGACTGAACTGCAAAAATGCAAATTAGAAATACAACCTGAGCTTGTCAAGCAATTTAATACCTCTGATCCTCCCTTCAAAAAATTCAACCCGCTTTAAATATGTCAGCAGATCTCTGCAATTCACCCTGGAATTTACCTGATTTAGGCCATTTAGGAGCAATTTTACAGAGCCTAGCAGCTCTCTCAGATGTCTTATCTAGAAATACCCTTTGGATTTCTGAAGGGGTCAACTCTAACACCTCTGTAGGCATCACATGCAGCAGGACTGAGTTAATAAGTGCTCATAAATGTTCAGAGTATTCCTTGAAAACCAAATATATCATTTTACGGCAAAGTTATTAGGTTTGCTCTTCTCAAGAAACCATAACATTTAAAATGTCCAATGTTTTTCTGTACATTGTCATTTTCAAACAATGTTTCTGTTACCTCCTTTCAATTCCTATATGAAAGCTGCCACATATTTCAGCTGCAATTGCTTACAAGCAAATGAAATTTCTTCATGATTTATTTGGTAATTCTCCGAGTGGTTTGATAGCCACCCTCATCTAATTCTAGTTAAATGGTGGGGGGCAGTGCCCCTGGGAGACATTAACAATGCATCTGTAGTCCACAGAATATTTTCAGTTTAATTGCCGTACTTTTACTTTCAAACCAGCTGAAATCCATTTCAGTGAGTAGCTAACAAGAACTGGGTAACAGTTCCCTTAGAGGCACCCATCCCTGAATCTTCCTGAGTATGAGACTGATTTACCTTTAGGAAATCAAAAATTCTTGAATTAGCAATGAAAAAAAGCGAGGACCTATGGAAGGGCAGAAATAAATGATGCCATTTAGGACCCTGATCTTCACTTACATAACTGCAGAGTTTTATCTAACAACTTCCCTACTTCCATGTGACCTGAATCTGTCCCATTATTATGTACATCTGCTTTAAATTATTCTGGATACACTTGAGCTGTATTTGGAAAATATCCTTGACCATTTCTGCATATCCCCCTAATCTCAGAATTAATGGAAGATTTTTTCATTGGTCTTGTTTACATCAGAAAGAGATTTAAAAAAATTTAACTGCTAAGGGATGAAGGCAGCCCTATATACATCTCTAAAAATGTCAATTTTTGTACTGCTACACCTCCAGTCCTGGGGTCAATTTTGGGGAAGACACTGAGGGGCTGGAGCAGGGCAGGGAACGGAGCTGGGAAGGGTTTGGAGCCCAGGAGTGGGTGAGGGAGCTGGGAAAGGGGCTCAGCCTGGAGAAAAGGAGGCTCAGGGGGGCCCTTCTGGACCAAAGAAAAAAGACTGGGGGAAATGAGAGGGCAGTCATTACTGAACATACATATATATATTTATATACTTCTATATATAAGGCCAGTTAATATAAATACAAGCCTGAGCATCTGGACTATCTCCTGGAAGCAGGATTACACTTTGATCCCCAAAAATGTTCCTGAGCTCTTCAACAAATCAAGGACACCAGGACAGAAGCAGTAAGCTCCCCACAGATGTAAAGCAGAGATGAAATTGTTTCTTTCTTTACAGTTTTTGGCACTTTGGCTCAAAAAAATGAATATGGGGCTGTGCTCCAGCTCTGGACATCCAACAGTGGATGTCAAAGGCCAACCACCAAAGGCTTTGGCTGGTAAATAAAGTTGTTTGTATTTATTTTTAGGTCTTAAACTGACCTTTTATTCCAGACAAGTTTGAGGGTATTGTATTACACTCTTATTGGTGCAGAAGGCTTTTTTAATATCAAAAAGAAGAAACACTCCCTTAAATACTATGTATTTGCCAAAGCCTGCTTTTGTTTTGCAACATTAGGCATGTTTGGTTTGAAAGACAGGGGTTTGCCAAGGAAGGCAGCAGCCT